ATGCTAAAGAGTGACTCCGTGGTTTCAAATGGGAGGAGTCCCTTTGGGTGCACAGGAAACTTAGGAAGTATGTGTGTTCCCTGATGTGATCTCAGTAGCGATTCATTTTGCTCATATTTGACAAATTTTATTTCATGCCAAGAAATGACAGGGTTTGGACCTAAGTATGGTGTATGGGCTTACTCTGAGTTTAGGTACATTCAATATAACTTTGGAAGAATACCCATACCTTATTACCAGACAACATATACCAGCTACTCTGGTAAGAAATCTTCTATAAATAAAAGAGAAACAGTGTCTCAACATATTTGATCCTTCTAAAGGTAACCAGTTGTTTAATAACTGTCTCTGATTTTTTGTATCAGAAAAGAAGATTTATGTTTGTATACTTGACAAAGCCAAGGATTTTGATTATAAAAACAGGTCAAATATATTACAAAGCAGTCTGCAAATGCAGTGTTACAAGAAAGTAAAATTTCCTGGCTTTTGCCCAAATAAGTTCTCTCCTCAATTATTTATATTTGCAAGTTCACCGTTGCAAAATCTGTCTTTTAGATGAAATAATATTCCTCCTAGACTTTCTAAAGGGGGAAAACAAGTGTTCAGTAATGAAGCCCTTAAGAATATTGCTTTTGGGGGGTTTTGCATATATGCAAAACATGCATTTAGGTAAAGCTGAAGCTGTCAGAAAATGTTACAAAATGCAGTAATGTAAAATGTCCTGAAGCTACTAGGCTCAATCAAAGCTCAGAAAGGCACTTTTCTGATGTGCTGTGTTCCACGTACGCTTATTCTAAAATGAAGCTGTCCTAGTCAGTCAGGGAGTCAGCTTGCTGTCATTAATGCCTCCTCTGTAGCAGTTTCCCCAGTTATGTCATTCAGTGTGATCCAACTGATTTATATGATTTACGCATGAACCAGTTATTTCTAAACTTTGAAGTCTATGCAAATTTCTCTCCTGCAATTATTGTAGAGCCAATTGCAACATGTTTGAAAAAGCAAAAAAAAAAAAAAAAAAAAAAAACAAAGTTAACCCATCCAAAAATATTACTTACAGAAAAAAACATTGAAAGTCCTGAGCTGAGAAACAGCTCCCCCCAGGAAATGCAGGTTTTGAGGTTTTGAATACCTCTGAATGAAATTGATATCTGCTTTTTGGCAGGTCTGCAGTAAAGTACTTAAGTGTGAGAGACACTGAATATTATTTTCTTTTAAGATGGAAATGAGAAATGGTCTTTCAAAATGCATTTCATAGCATTTTCCAGCAGCAAGAAAATCAACTTTCTGTGATAATCTCTAGATTTAAGGAGTTCATGGCATTCTAAAAGCCATGGCTTTCTTACTCACACTCTTAAGTTGGATTCCTTTTATATTTTGGTTCTTACCAAGATTTCAGAATCTTAGACTAAAATTTGACTATTTTTTGCATGAGAGATAAGTCAGTTGTTGCTGAGGGAAGAAAAAGATCTAACTGTATTCTTTGAAAACAAAGGTACAGAAAAAACAGCTGAAGCTGAGAACTGAAATCTGGCTGCTCACTGAAGACTAGGTTCAGAAAAGCACTTAACTGCTGTAATACAGCATTTAACTTTTAGCCTCCAGACTTCTAAAGTATCTGTGCTATTGGTAATATTTCCCTGGGCCACAGTTTGTATACCTAAAGGCACATCAGTACTGCTAAGTGGCAAGTGAATAAGGAGCAGGATTGAGAAGGGGACTCATCCCTTGCTTGAGTCACAGCTTAATTGTTGGCCCTCTTCACAGATGTGATTTGGACCTCTCCACCTGTCTCTCCATGCAATATACCTTTAGCAGGATAGACAGTGTCTCCAGAAACCTGTATGAAGCAGGTTTCTGTTTTGTTGTGGCCCCCTCCCTTCTTTCAATGCTGAACAGAGTATAGTCTAAGCCCTACAAAACCTCCGGTCTCACTTCAAAACACACAACATTATATTTAGCTTCCTTTTACTCCCATTGCCTGCACTACTGACTCCTATTAGTCAGAACAATAATTGAGCTGAACAATAACCACCCAAAATAATAATTGTGTATTTTAGTCACTCAGGCACTAAGTGGAACCCAGGGGAGGTGTAGTGCCAATACGATGTGGTAGTATGGGATGTGGCCAGCTTGGAGCAGAAGGTGTGAGCAGTAAGGGAAGGGAATGCAAGCCAGCAGGCACAGCAATTCATCTATGCTTGTATTTTATGTCAGCAGTGTAGCATATTCTGAAACCAAAGTTCTGCAACATGCAGCTTGATCAGCAAGGATCTGCTTGTGCTAGTCTTTGTCAGAGGATGACGTAGATAAGTCAGATGCAGATATAAATAATATGACAGAGGCTTCTGTAGAAACCTCCTCCATCTGTTCTTTGCTTGGACCCACCTCTTGGCTTCTTCTCTTAAAAAAGATATTACTTCACTCCTAACATAAGCAGAGGACCTTGCTTTCTTGTAAAATGCTGTTAATGATGCCACCATTTTGTATGAGATATTAAGACACTCAGGCAAGATATGAGACACCTGGGTCCTGCTCATTCTTTTTGAGTAGTTGGAAGTTATCCTGACTTCTTCACAGTGGGGTGTGACCAGAAGTACTCTGTTAAAGGACTTGTGTAATGTGACAAGAATTTCAGATTCACAGGGCCTGTGTAAATGGATACTCTAACTGGCCTTTAGGGTCCTGTCCTAGCAGATCTGGGACATGATCTGGACCTCTGGCAGAGTAAAACACGATGGCTAGTTTCCTCTCAGATTCCTCTTGTTATAAAATAAGATTCACATAAATATTGATGGTATCTGCTCTATATAAAGACAATATAAGAAAGGTAATATATAATATAAAGACAGGGACTGTCTTCTGTCTTTTACATATGTTTTTCAAGAATTAGATTGACAGGAAGTTTTTGTGTAAGATGAAGATCTCATAGGTATATGTCAGCACAAGAACCAAAGTGGATTTTGGAAGGTGTGAATGGGAAGACATTTAGATTCCAGCTGAATTTAGGGGTCAAATAGGTGCTGATAACTTGGCATTGACAAGACTACTGGAACAGGGAAGAAGCGTAACTTTAGGCATGAAAGGAACCTAACTGATAAAACTCTCAGTACTCGCAAATGGAAATATCTCTGGCTTTAAGCAGCAATTTCAATATAAATTTGAAAATTCTGTTGTTGACCATAAATATGAGTATTCTGCTTTCTTCCTTCTGTGGTGCTAGTCTTTTTGGAAAAAATTGACCTGTTCTAGGTTTGGAGGTATACAGCAGTTGGATAAGTGACTCTGAAAAGTAGTTCTGGGCAGTGAAAATAATAAAGTCCACCTTTTTTTGAATTTGGATTTTCTGCTGTTCAAAAAGGTGTTCAATAAGGAAGTTTCCCCTTGTGTTTTTTCTAACCAATGTGTCATTCATGGCATCATTTTCAATGTGGAGTCTTTTATATCTATGAGGAACTGACCTCATGTTTCACCCAGTAAAGGCAATAATAGAGCCTCTCTCCTCTTTTTCTCCCAGCTGTCTATTTAAAAGAAAAAACATGTAGGATCTTAATGCTCTGAGACCTGAAGTGCTCAGTTAAATTTGATTGAAACTGGCTGATGGTTCAAAAGCTATTGGAAAAGGATGGATAAATATACCTTCACACATACCATCAGTGTTCTGCTAGTAAAGTGCAGAAGTTAGTCCCTAGGAAACTAGAGCAAAAATCCCTTCTGAGCATATTCAGAAGCATGTGCTATATCTCAGAACCATTTTAATTTAAAAATGTCCTGTGTAAAGACTATGTTCTGTATAGTTCTCTAAAAGTCAATGATTTAGCATCAAAAAGGGAGAAAAAATTCCAGAGAAAAAGAAAAGAAACACAATTTTAGTACAATCCTGATAATATGAGTGACATCAATCAGCTCAGCCTGTACCACTGCAGTGAAAAGTTAGATTCATGCTTTCAGCACAAGTTACCATTATTATGGAAAAATAGATTAATCCCTTCAAATTCATTTCAGTAGAGTTGCATTTTTTCATAAAGCAACAGGTTGAGTGAAAGGAGTGCCATTGCTTTGCAATCTCACGTCCAGGAATTTTGAAATCCCTGAGGAACCTGCAACTCTTTGTCATTGCTCTAGATTGTCAGTCCAGCATGAGATACTTGTGCTCCACTGCAACATGGCAAGATGCTAATGTGAGTAGTAACTAGTGTGCATTTTTAATCCAAGTTAGAAACTCTGGCCTGAAAATATATATTTTACTAGTACATATGACTTTTAAAGTCTGAGATTAGAAAATTAAATACAGAAGAGAAGTTCACACGTGCTGACATGCAGAATGCTGATGTGAAAGTTGAAATGCATTAGATTGTCTACAATGCTTTTTGTCCCTTGAGATGTCAAAAGCATACCAAAAAAAAAAAAAAAAAAAGAAAAACCCCAAACAAAACCTGTCTGATCTCTTTATGAATTTGTCTGAGAAGAAGAAAGGGTATTTTTGTCTGAAAACAGAATAATATCCCTTTGTCATCGTGTAGTTCGGAATAAATTTATAGAAACCATCAAGATTATCCTGGATTTACTGTGCTTTAATAAAGAGGGGATTTTAATCCAGTGCTGGTGTGACTGACAGCTCTAGTTTACATAGGAAGAGCGAGAAGCCTCCTCAGGATCCTCCATGCTAGGATCAGTCAGTTACTACCCAGCTGATTCCCTGGATGTTTTTCCTTTGCTTTTCCAGGAGATTTTGTGTGGGAGGGCTGGGGAGGCAAGCACTGCTGTCAGTAGGGGAGTGTTGATTTTTGCATTCCTGAAAGTCACTGCTGTACTAAATGAAGATAATTGGCAGGAATCGATTAGCTTTCTAGGAGGGTGTTCTTAAGGGTTGAGCTCTTTTTACAAATTGCCCCTTCTGCACTTACTGCTTGAGAGGCATAATCTCAGCCATCCCGAAATTCACAGAACAGGAGATTGATTTCCTCCTTTTTCTTTTTCTTTCCCTGCCTTAAACTCTGCAGGTCAGTCCCACCCCAGGGTGCATCCGGGCGTTAATGAAGATGTTGTACTGCCCTTACTGCAGAGGACTTCCCACTGTGAAACCTTGCAACAACTATTGCCTCAATGTAATGAAGGGCTGCCTAGCAAATCAGGCTGATTTGGATACTGAGTGGAATCTGTTCATAGGTAAGAAGAGTTTAAATATTAGTGGAAGGAAACTCTGGTAATATCAAATCTCTGCAGGGTTCTGTGAGGTTAGAGGACGCTGTTGGTCAATGTTCGGAATGTAGCAACTGCAGATGCAGCTCACTTTCTAATTGAACTTCATGGCTTGCAGTAAGAAATGACTGCTCGCCATGCCCTAAGCCAGTCACGTTTCACATTTCATGTTTCCAAAGAAACGGTGTGGAGTTACAGCTCCTGAGCTGAATTATTACATGCTATTTGAAATGTTGAGAAAGATTTGGTTGAGGATTTGATAACAAGCTTAACATGGCAGAAATAGTGTGTATTACAACTGAAAACCAGGCTCTTGCAAGCTGAGAAGATAATAACATTGTATAACATCCAGCCAACATAAATCACAACAGCTGTTGTTTTTAATTCTTGTGGTACACAGTCAAAAAGCTTTAAAAGTTACATATATGAGAAATTATTAATTCCTTATTCTTGCTTCAAATATGCTTCTCCCTTCCAGTATACTGGAATAGAAAATACCAAACATGCAACCCAGTGGCAGAATGGGGCATAGAATATATATTTAAGAAAAACTACTCCCACAATTTATTTACATAATTCTTCACTCAAATAAACTAAGAATAAAAAAGAAAGAATTGTCCTTTAAAGAGCCATTCAGCTATCCTGTAGCAAAAGAAAACAAAACAAAAAAATAACCATTAAAAAAAGCCCAAAACCCACCAAAAAAAAAAAAAAAAAAAACTCTCAGGAGAGTAACATATAACAAGAAATACTACTTTTAAGTTGCTTTTGGTGATAGGATAGGATGACAATTAGACAAGGCTGATGATAATATGGAAGGAATGGAACAGCTAGTTAGCCTAGACACTAATGAGTGTCATTGTCTAGACTGGATTTCGGAAAAATAAATGCAGCTGGAAAAAATGGGATAACACTTTCTTTATTGCAGCTGAAGAAAGGAAATTTATTTTCTATTTTTGGAAAGATAAAACATAAGCAATCTCATTCTGCTTAATTTCAAAGCCCACTGACCAATGTGACTTTGAAAATTTGACTCTGACTCATTCATAGATTTTTGCTTTACTCAGCAGTGCAAGATGGATAGGGAGAAGAAAACAGGATGAAAAATGAATCAGAGTATGAAAAGTGAAAACGAGCATTGAGCGTGCTATAAAAATAGCATGCAAACAACAGTATTAAACAAATGATGCAGATTCATTTGCTTTCCCAGGTCTCTTGTGCTGGTTAGAGGAGTTGACATCAGAAACAGTGCTGTATGTAGGGATACTCATGGGATTACTGGAGTGAAAAGGAGAATCTAAACATCCTCAGAAAGCTAAGTAGGAGCTGATGGGAAAAAAAATTCTAACCTGTTAAGGACATTGCATAAGCTACTTCCCCTGCCGCTGAATGATAAGCAAGTGCTGAAAAGTCACTAATTCTGATTTAAAAAAAAAAAAAAAAAAAAGTAGGTTTTTAAGAAAAGAAACCCAAAACATTTGAACTAAAATAAACAACAGAGTTTTTATTAAGACAAGCACGAGTTTAAATCAAAAGCTGGAAGTTAAGGTTTGAGCTGTTAAGATTTCCTTTCCTGGTTTAAATTCAGTGAGAGTGCTGGGCATGGTGAGACGTGTTGGAAAGCGTGGAAATGCTTACAGATTCAGACTTTCAGAATCTTTGCTGCAAAGCCCTTGTCTGCATCAACGTCTCTTTGGTTTTGATTGTTCTTGCTCTTAGAAAATAAAAACTGCATGAAAGCTTATATGTTATGTTAAACCATGGTGCTAATTTATTAAATACCATGTCAGGCAGGCTACTGTGCAATTATCCCTGCAGGTCAGTGATGATAAGGCAGTATACAGTACAAATGAATTCATATTTCCTCTTTCTTCTAACTATGCAACTTTCCCTCTGTATGGGGAAGAAAATAGAGGAGATACAAAGATTTTCATGTGTTTGGAAAAGGTATTCTCTTTTATCCCATTTTTCAGGCCTCTGACAGCTTTGCTGAAGATGAGGGTCCTTCCTTTATGAAAGACTGAAATGAGGCAAGTTGTCTCTGTCTCTGACAGCTGTCAGAGGCTTTCTAATAACACATGCAATTCCCTTAGTGGTAAGCACAACAAAACTTCTACTCACTGAATTAAAGCGAACAGCAGCATTTTACAGCATCGCTGAGCTATGAAAGATTGGAAATTACGCATGAGCAGTTTTTATCCCTGTTCTAATACTAGGAACCATGCACTAGTGAAAAAAAAGATAATTTTGTGCATTAACAGTCTCTGCCTAGGCAGGAATCCCAAATGTTAGTGCATATTCATACACAAGATAGTTTTGCTTAGCTCATAATCTGTGCATTGCAAAATAGTTTTCCTTAGCTCATAGTTTGTGCATTGCAAGGTTGTTTTGATAGAAGTTGGTACTAGGAGAAAACTCTCAGATATGTTTGTCAGTAACTAAGTAAATCCTGTGGTTTAGACTGCACATCCTGATATTGTTCTGTAGTTACAGCAATGGTCCAGCAACAGGCAAGATCTGCACATGAGGAGGAACAGAGGAAAGTAAATGAGCTGTTTGACAACAAGATGTGCTGCATGTTTCACCTAGTTTATAAATATAGAAGTCAGGACTGAAATCACATATATATAGTGCTAATAAATCTTGCCTCTACTTTCAAAGCTAGGGAGAGTGGGACAACTTCCCCTAAACATCTGGTGCTTTCCAAGATTTTATAGACTGTGAAAATTGGTAGGAGGTGAAACAGCTGCAGCAGCATGAAACATGGCTTATTATATATTTCCTGGTTTGCCACCTTAAAGTCTGTGTCCTTTTTCTGTAGTGTTTCATTATAGGCTTTTCGTATTTTGTTGCCTATATTACTGTGTGATAAAATCCAAGTGTTGCATATCTCATTCTAGCAGATCATCTGCAACTCAGAATTTTGCCTGAGAAAGGAAGGCAGTCTTTAATATCATATTATAATTATAAAACTGTAATGAAAAAATGCTCCTTCCAGGTATCTATATAAAATATTTAAGAGGCATTTAAAAGTAAACCTGCCACACTGACTTTAAAAATGTGTATTTTGCAAAGCTTGCTTCTGATGTTTTGCCTGTCAGTTACCCATCATAATCTCCTTTGCACCCATCTCAAGCAAAGTTAGCAAATGCAAGATAAAAAGCATGAGCAGAGGAACTGTACTGTTGAGGAAGGAGATTGCCTCAGGGAGGAGTTGACTGATTCTTTGGAGTGGGGAAAAGGGGATTTTCTCTCTCATGGCCCAACAGATATAGTCAAAATTATTCATCTCTCCATGGAGCTATACCAATTAACAGCAATAAGAATCAGGCATCCCACTGTTCATTCTGTCACAGAAACAGACGAGATGGATAAAATTATTCCCACTAACAAAAATATAAAGCCCCTGTATCTTAGGGAATGGCATCCAATTTTAGCAATACTGTTGTTACTCCTCTTTCTCTTACTAACCTGTATTTAAGTACCTGTTCCTATCTTGAGATTCTTTGACTTTCCTTAACCTTAGCTTTCCCTATAATTGGTCATTTATTTCCCTTCAACTGCTCTTTTTCTCAAGCAAGACTGTCAGCTGAGGAATGAGCCCACCTCAGTGGACACCACACTTTCTCTTGGTATCCTCATTCACATTCAGAATCAACAGCTGTAAAAAGATTATTTCCACGGAAGCAAGTGCATCTCGTTCTGACAGCTGCCTTAATTACAGGTTCAGGATGGCAAAGTGGCCATAACCCATTTATTTTTTGGAGAATTTTTTTCACAATTAGAGTTAAGTTTCTTCTGTCTTGAGACAAAAACATAGATGATACTAAATCTGAAAATCTAGCAAGATTGTGGGCCAAATATGATAATCCTTATAGAAGTAATTCAGCAGAACAGAAGAACAAAAATCCAGGTAGTTGTTTTAATCATAGTAATTACTGTATCTGAACTTTTTTGGTGGAAATCCAAAGTAATTGATAAATGCTTTGTTGCTGTAGTTAGTGATGCAGTGTAATGCCTATGTAGCAGTGTATTAAATGCAATCCATGAAGGTTTTACACTGCTTCGCTATTTATAATAGCAGAAATTAAAAGGGTTTTTCCCCCTACAAATTATTCAGTGATAAATCAGACTCACCTCAACCATACCCCCATGTTTTATTAGGCAGGAGATTGTGGAAAACACTTCAGAAGTTGTGCAGTAGCAGAGACTGCATCCCTGCCTGTGAAAAGGAGCCAAGAGTTTATGTCCACAGCCACCCCTCTGCTTAGAGTGGGAAGCAAGTGGCTTTGCTCTGAGTGTATTCCATATTTGATAAGCTCTACTGTGCACTAAGGCAGATCAGCATGCAGGGTGTTCATACTGCAGGATTCAAGACCTGCAAAGCTGAGAGCCAGAACCTCCTACTGCCTCCTTCCTGCCAGGCTTCACCAAAGGAGAAAATCATATCTGTGAGGCTTCAGCAAAAGATTCTCCTGCCAGTGTTAGAATTATTTATCTTATTGTCATTACAATGGCTCTGCATTACTAATTAACTTTCTTCTTGTTGTGCTTTAAGAATCCCTTTTTTCTTCCCATCAATATGACTCAGACACTTACCTTAGGAGTTCTCCTGAGGAAGAGTATACCATGCAGTCTCACTTAGAGCAACTAGATTATTTTCAGAAAAAGTACGTAATGAAACCTTAACTACTTACTCCTAGGGAAAGTTTTAGTGATGAAAATATGCAATCAATTATCTTTACTGCTTACAAAAGTCCTCGGGTCGCTGTGCTTTCTCTGTTCCATGTGCAAGGATAAACATTTTCTTTTAATGCTTCAAGAGGCTACCCTGATTTGATTTTGTAATGACTTGTTACAGGAATAACTGTGTCTTCATGATTCACTTTGGTTCAGAGAAAAAAATCAGTCTGTAATACTAATAATAATCCTTTACTATTTTCTTGTGATTTTATGAGGTCTCAAAG